AAATACTGAACCCATTACTCAGACCAGTTAAAAATAATTAATTAAGAAAATACAGAAAACATATTTATAATGTAAAAAACACTGATATCAAACTGTGTACAAAAGACAAGCACAGATTATCTCTGACGAAGTGATGACAGGATCATGACTTAGTCCGTGGACTGTGAGCCCTGCTGCTCCCGACCAGACAATCTGAGGAAGCGGCCCCCGTCACATTGGGGTTGCTCTGCAGCTGAAGAGCCTCACCAGGGCCTGCTTTATGTCCTTGTTTCTGAGACTGTAGATGAAGGGGTTCAGCATGGGGGTGACCACCGTGTACATCACCGAGGCTGTTGCTCTGTCCCTGGAGTTGTGGGTAGCAGCAGAGCTGAGGTACACGCCGAGTGCCGTCCCGTAGAACAGGGAGACCACGGAGAGGTGAGACCCGCAGGTGGAGAAGGCTTTGTACCTGCCGCTCGCTGAGGAGATTTTCAAAACAGAGGACACAATCTTAGAGTAAGAGTAAAGGATGCCACTGACAGGAATGGCCCCCAGAACCCCCGCTGCTAAATATATCACCAGCTCATTGAGGAAGGTGTCAGAACAGGCAAGCTGGATCACCTGGTCCAGGTCACAGAAGAAGTGAGGGATTTGCAGCTGTGAGCAGAAGGACAGTCGCAAAACCAGTAAGCTGTGTAATAGAGATTGCAGAAGACTTAACACCCAGGACGCAAGAAGCAGGAGGCCACAGAACTGGGGGTTCATGATGACCATGTAGTGCAGGGGATGGCAGATGGCCACAAACCGGTCGTAGGCCATGGCTGTCAGGAGGAAGGTGTCCCCTCCTACAAAGAGTAAGAAGAAAAACGTCTGGCTGAGACAGCCCGCGTAGGTTATGGCTTTGTTCTGCGTCTGGATGTTCAGCAGCATCTTGGGGACGGTGGTGGAGGTGAAGCAGATGTCGGCAAAGGACAGGTTGGCGAGGAAGAAGTACATGGGGGTGTGCAGGTGGGGGTCCGTGACGATGGCCAGGATGATGAGGAGATTCCCAGTGACCGTGACCAAGTACATGGACAAGAATGCCCAGAAGAGGAGGGGCTGCAGCGAGGCCTCTTCTGAGAGCCCCAGGAGGGTGAACGCTGTGGGGTGGGTTTGGTTTCCTGGCGCCCGGTCGCTGGTGACCCTGGGGGATGGAGACAGAAGTGATGTCAACTTCACCACAGCAGAGCAGTCAAGGAATGAGTTTAAATGGGGTGACTTTGTTTTAAATACATGCAGTTAATAAGTTTGATGTTATAGATCTGGTGCCTTTTCCTGAAATTTTCAAGGCTGTTCATGACCCACCTTCTCTTGATGCTGAGAATGGTTAGCGGTTCTTACCTGTAATGCAAATATTTTTCCAAGTCAAAGTTTTCTTTGACTATATTGTGTGATTTTCTTTAAATATGTTTGACCAATTATATTATCCAAATATTGTTGGAATCATGGAGAAGAAGCAGTGAGACTGATTCTGAAAAATCCTACTCCTAGGGCCTCCCTGGTGGCCTAGAGGTTAAGACTCTGCGCTACCACCAGGACAACCTGAGTTTGATCCCCGGCCAGGGAGCTCACCCACATGTCCCCGGAGACCTCCCTTTTTTCCCACTGTTCCCCTCTGCAGTGTGTTTGAGTCGATCTGCCTGTCCTTCTCCCCACTCTGTCTCTGGTGAATGTTCTCTGCCCCTGCACCTCTGGCCTGCTCCCCAGTTGTTCTATGCGTAAATAACAGATGAATATATTTTCTTTTAAAAAAGAAAAATGCTAGCCCCAAACAATTTTCTTCTAATATGTGTATGGTCTCGGTAAATAATATTTCAGTTGGTGATTATTACTGTTAAGTAAAATAATGCAGGTGTAGTAAGAGGTAGAATCTAGAGGAGAGCTCTATAATCTCTTCCAATTAGGAGACTTTGGAAAAAAAATTGAAGGCAGCGGATTTATCTATGAACGACGTATCATGTGGCGACAGTATGTCCAAGAGAAGTACATTTGGGTTTGGGGAAATAGCCAGAAAAACATGTCACTACAGGAGCGTTCCTGGCGTAGTTACAGATCCCAGAATTAGTTGTGTTACACTCCAGGTTGGGGGTGAGATTAGAGAGTTAGCAGGAGGCCCAAAAATCCTGTGTCTTGTGAAGTTCCTGTGCATGACATTGTACATGTGCTGATCTTCTAGTGGGTAGACTGTTACATGTGCTGTGCCTAAGTGTGAATGTTATATATTGTATGTATAAGTTATCCATAATTTGGGCCTCCCCGGTGGTGTAGTATGTTCAGGCAGCGTTGTGAATCTGTCCGCAGCCTCTGCAGCATGGCTTCCATTCCTGGCTGGCCAGGGAGATTCCCACATGGCGTGGCAGACCTCTCCTGTCTCCCCTGCTGCTCCCCTCAGCAGTGTATTTCGTCAGCCTGCCTGTTCTGTTCCCCACTCTTTCACTGGTGAGTCCTTTTACCCCTACACATCTGGCCTGTACCCCGGCTCTTCTGTATAAATAAAAAAATCTTAGGGAAAAAAAGCTGAATGGTTTCTTAAATAAGTTTTCCATAATTTAATCCCTCCTTAAACTATAATTTCTTTTCCTCACATTTCATCTAAATTCTGACCGTTTGATAATAGAAGGCAGCTTCATTGGGACAGATGTCTAATCTGTGCTTCTCTTTATCGGTTATAAGGGTTATTTCCCTTCTATTAGCCACACACACACTTTCTGATCCACGCTTAGGACATTTTGTCCTGTGCATTGAGGCAGAGCTGAGAATTGGAAATCATTACAGACACCGAAAATAAGAAGTGATTTACTTTTCCAAGAATCAGCTCTTCAGATTGTTGTAAAGTAAGTTATTTGCTCTGTGTTTTAAGACTCTGGGTACCTAAATACAAAGAACCTTGGCTTTGTATCCTTATTTATTTATTCACTTAAAATTTGTAACTGAGGTGGTATTGGGGAACCCCCACCAGGGATTGCCACCATAGTGTGCCGACACCTCCTCACCCCTATTTCACCACCTCAGACCATTGGGCTTCCTTCCTGCCTTGTTCTTCCCCTTCCCCACACCTGGCCCCCGCCCTTGGTGTCTCAGCTGTGTAGTCAGCTGTCAAGGGTCAGTTTCTAACCTCGTCTTCATCTGTTAGTTACTTTATATTCCACATATTGGACACACCATTGGATATTTAACATTCTGATGACTTATTTCAGTTAGCACTATGAGATCAGGTTCCCTCCACGTAGTCAAAATGGCATAAGTTTATCTTTTTGATTGCTGACTAGTATCCATGACGTGTATATACTATATCTTCTTGATCTGCTCATATGTTAGGATGTTTCAGCTATAATAAATAGTGCTGCAATAAACATGGGCGTGCAAGTTTTCTTTCAAATTAGTTTTTTGAATTTTTTGGATAAATGCCTAGGAGTAGAATTACTGGGTCAAATGGCAGATCCATGTTTACTGTTTGAGACACGTCCTCACTGCTCTCTGTGAGGGCTGGGCCAGGCTGCACTCCCACCTGCAGCGCGTGTGGCCCACTGCCCTGCATCTGAACAGCATCCTGTCAGGGTCAGTTCCTTTGCACCGTCTGCTTCTTGGCAGGCCCCATTTACCCTCAACTCTGACTGGAATAGGCTGATTAGGAGACAAATGAATAGATGATGAAATCAATAGTGGTTAATACTACAAATGTCAGGGTCTATATTTATTGAGAAGTTGGTGATGTTTCTCTGAGAAGAAATCTGCCATAGGAAATTTAATTCTTACGTATATCGCCCAGTTTACGATACATTTGGTTTTGGATATATCATTTCACTTAAAGTTGCAATTTCCAAGAATCTATGTGTGATATTAAGTGAGAAATTAATGTATTCATTGTGCTCTGACACCCCACCCTCACTTAGTTTAGTTGGCAGTAGTAGCCAAACAAATTCATATTGCACGAGCTATATAAACAATACGGTGTCACAAAAATAATGACAAGCTGAGAATGAAAGACAGGAAAATACTAAAATGCTTGTGGAGAACACACAAGGGGAATTTTCATATCCTGAGACTCACATCCATTTGGGGGTCAGACCTGGGTTTACATGAATGAAGTAGAATAGAACATGTAAAGCCCGCAGGAAAATGTCTGAGTGCATTGTCTGAACACACCGTGGACATTGATTTACAGTTCTCCTCCATCAGTTGTGTGCACACGTGTATGTGTGTGTCATAGGTAAGCTACATCACAGAGAAAAAGACAGGTTACTTTAGGCATCAGTAAGAAGAATCTGGCATCCCTTGCATACGGGAGAGAAGTATTTAAAAGTCAGTTCTTGCTAATGAGGGAGAGACCATGTGAGTGAGGCCCCATCGGGGTGGAGAACAGTTCCTTGGACACCAGGGCCCCCAGGCCGACTGACCCGCTGTCACTCCACTCGCCTGTGATGGGGTTGACAGTGGGATCCTAATCTGAGTGTTGTTTCTATACCTGTTCCCCCCTCACGTGAGCACATACTGTGACATTATGCAGTAGTGTCTGAGATTGTCCCTCCTCTGGTTTTTCGTTTTTGTGGAATTGATTCTTTGCTTTCCTTGGGTTTATATTTTGATCTCCCTTTGACACAGATAAACTGGTCCTTGTTTTTCTCCTCGTCCAACATGCAGTGTCCTCCCCAGACAATATTCCATAAAATCCTGCTTGTGCCCCAACAGTCTGTCGCTTTCCTCCGTGTTGTTTATTCCCGAGACCATCATATCCCACATGCACTATTCCTTGTGCTCAACCCTCTCTAGCATAACGTAACATCCACATGAGCAGGGTCACCAGCTAGTTTGCTCATTTTGGGATCATCATATAGAAACTATGTCAAGGAATTGTAATTCATAAAATGAATGGAATAGCAAGAAAAACAGAGCCTGGGTAAATATAGTGGGATCAGCACGAATGCATTAAGCACAACGGAGCACAAATCTAAGACTTTGTGAAGAAAAGATGTAACAAGAACTTAATCACATCCACTGGTTCTCTAAAACGTAAAATGGCAGAGTTGAAAATGAAAAAATAGACACTTTTTCCAAAGCACTGAAAAATGCAGATCCAAAGCTCTCATTTCTCTCTAGAAAAACAAAAATAGATTCCAATATGCTTGAGGGAAATATAATTTGTCCTTTGATACAGAAGAATGTGATCCAGGAGATGGGAAGATGGGGGCTGTTTTTAGGAACAAATTGGCTGCCCATCATCCCTTTGTCTCTCTTGTATGCAGAAGCTTTTCAGTTTATGTAGCACCACATGTGGCTTCCTGATTTTCATGTCACAAGGAAGTCATTGCCTATGCAAATACCAGAGAGCCCCTAAGTATGTGTTTTCCAGAGGAGACACCTAGATGGGCAGCAAGCACATGAGGGGGTGCTCAGGATCCCTCACCAGGGAAATGCAAATCGGAACCAGGAGCCTCACCTCACAGCTGCTGACAGAACTCCAGGGAGATGACCAAAGGTCAGCAGTGGGAGTGGGGCGCAGAGAGCCCTGGGGTGCTGTTGATGGGCTCATACACCGCTTCAGGCACAGTGGGTAAGAGAACAGAGGCGCCTCAAAATATCAAAGATAGACGCCCCCATGATGTGTTCATACATGTACAAAGGCAATGAAAACAGGACATTAAACTCCCTGTTTATTGAAAAAATAAAAATTAATATTTATTTTTTTAATTTAAAAAATAAAAATTAAAAATTTAAAAAAATTAAAATTAAAAATTAATTAAAAATTTTAAAAACATGAGTCCATCAGTGGATGAATAAAGAAAATAATGTGTACACATTAGATATAAAATATACATGTGCTATATATATATATATAGTGCTGCTCTTAATTATCCAAATGAATATACATGGATTATGTAAAACATATAATGTGTAATAAACACAGAGGATATTGTGTTGGTATAATGCACATTCTATATAGTAAAATATCAAATAATATCCAGTCAAGAGAAGGAAGGACACCCTGCCCTTTCTGACAACCGAGCAACTAAGAACGTTGTGCCACGTGACACAAGTCAGAGAACCACAAACACTGGACATCACTTCTGTGTGTGGTCCTAGAACAGACTTAAATAGCTTCCATGGACCAGAGTGGGGAATTTGGAAGAGGCTGTTTCAGGACACAAACTTGAAACTGGTGGGTGAATAAGGTTCTGGAATCTACTGCGTTGTGACAGAGTCCACAGTATTTTCTTACAACATTCAAAGTTATCAGGAGATAATTTCTTAATAATTTTGTGACAAAAACAAATGCTAATTGTGTGTATTGATGGAGGTGTCAGCTAGTGCTCCAGTGGTCATCATATTGCAATATATAAATATATGAAATCAACATGTTTTTCTCTAACTTTCACACTGCTTCAATTCAATTAAATCGCAATGAAAATACAACAAATCACAAGTGAGGAGACATAGTAATGAGGTAAAACAGATGTGACATGAACACAGTGTGTGTAATTTATTATTACTAATACGAATGGAAGGAACAGCTTTTCTTTTAATACATAGTGGGACACAATAGATCGACAGAGGCCCACACAAAATGGAAAACTTTTAAACATTTTGCCCAAAAGCCTATGTATATATGTGGGAGAATTAAGTGCAAGACACTTATTTTGCAAAACTCCAATTCTGTCTGAATATTTGAATCACAAACCAGAACAAAAATGCAGGCCCTAAGTAAATAAATTGTAGGAATGAGTGCAATTTATAATTGAAAAACAAAATTCTAACAAGGAAAACTATACAGATTTTCCAGGAATAGAGTGGCTGCAAAGTAAAACTCTTTAGTCTCCCCCAACTGACATTAAAGAAAAAGTATTACTTATGTGAGCACCTACCATGAGGGAACACTACACACTGTTCCTCTCCTCAGCTGCTCTGTGAGGTCATCTGCCTCCATTAGCCTGGATCTTTCTAATACAGATCACCTCCTCATTCACCCCATCCTAAAAATGAGCCCCTCACTTCAGTGCCGACCCCATCACATTTAATCCTTTATTTTCCTGCTGTTTTAACGTCAAACCTACTTGGCTGTGTCCTACTTTGCTGGAACCACATTAAGCCCCCACTCCTCCTTCAGTCTCTTCCTAACAGATTTTCCTTCCTGTCTCTTCACTGTCAGCACCATCTCTGTATTGTTGAGAGCAGTGGGCAGTTTTGAGTCACTAATTAAGTAAATTAATTATAAATTGACGAGTCAGTCAAGCAAGAGAACATGGGAGCCTCTTGTCCCTGGGCCTGGTTTGATCTCTGTGACCTGAGGCAGAACTTCTCAGTTTGCATTTTCCCAGGATCTGTCCCAAGTGCCTGCTGGGCTCTGAGACTCACCTGGGTGGGGGCTGTGACAGGGGCTTCTCCATGGAGCGTCTGAGTCCCTCCTGGACGCTTGAGGATGGATCTGGGCTGTGTCCCAGACAGGATCTCAGGAGGGCGCCAAGGGCTGGTCCCTGGGCAGAGGTCGGGCTCCACAGACAGGAATCATGTCCTCTCTGGGCCCGGGTTGGACAGTCTGAGGGACCGAGGGAGACAGGGTATTTACCGCCCTCCACGCGGTCTCATTAGCCACACCTCAGTCTCCTGCTACAAGCTCTGATTTCCCTGTGGACACTGGACTGGACAAAAGCAAAGTTTCTTAATGATTCTCTGATCCCAATAGACTAGATTAGATGTCAAGTGAATCCAGCTGTTGTTTCTCCTTTTTCATGAATTCCCACATCTTCCAGAGCTGTAGCTACCCAGCACCCTAGTCTCACTCTGTGCCTGAGGAGCCTGTGTGGACTTGATGTCCTGGATCATCAAGGCACAAATGTGGTGGGGGCTCAGACCCCCCCAATGTGTCTAATAGTGTTTTTCCTCCCTCATAAAGCAGAGAACCGAGTTCCTCTAGATAAAACTTTAGAAACCACACTCCTTGTGTTCATGGCACTTTTGCAAAAACAAGTAGGAATTTCTTTTTACTATTTATTGTGCTGTGACTGCAGCAGCCTTATGTTTGAGTCTCCTGAAGGAAATGACTGTGTTCCTAACCTGCTTAACATTCAGGTCCTTAGAGTGAAGATTTTTATAATTGCCAAACTCGCTCTGAATCCTGTGCACCGCCTTGGCCCCCCAAAGTTTAGGCTCGTGTCCTGCTTAGAGCACAGGGAAGTGCTAACACACATGCCACACCACTGCCCCATGGAGCGCTGCCCATAAAAGTCCACTGCTGGTACCAGGCGTCACCTTCCTCACAGGTCACTGTCCTCGTCCCGAACAGCAGTTGTCTTAGCAACCTCAATATCGTGCCCAGACCTCACTGGTTAACTAGCGTCTGTGACAGCACCAGTGAGGCAGGAGGAGGCATGACAACGACTCCAAGTGAGGGTCTCCAATTGCTTTTGGAGCAGCCAGAGGAAGGGCTTGTAGTGACCTGTGACAGACTCATCTCAGTACTGAAAATTCTTTTGGAAGACAATAGATTTTCCCTAACTTTCTTGTCTTTAGTGTCTACTTTGTTGCCACACAAAACAGTAGGATGTTTTCATACCCCCCATGTCAGGTCTCTATTGCAAGATAGACACATTCTTAGAAAAAACTCAGTGTCACATCAGACAATCTGTTGGCACATGGGCTTGGAGTAACAGCCTCTCTCCACCCACCAGGTGTCTCCTAACCCCTGGGCACCTCACGTTGAACTTGACACGTCTCAGGGGGTGTGGAACAGGAGAGGATGGGCCTCAACACCCCACATTTCTTGTGTGTCTTTAATTGTCAGAATTAGGCTGTGCAAATATGTCCTCCCTGTAGCAGGCTGTCTTAGTGTTGTAGTGATGTTTTCGTATACTACACCGAAGCATTTTGGTTGATATATTCCCAATTATTTACATTGTCCTTTGTTTCCCTTGCTGCTGGAGATGAATCCACTAACACACCTGAAATTTATATTCTAGAGTGTGTTGCCCAAGTTTTCTTCTATATGTGTTATGCTTTAGGTCTTTCAACAAGGACTTTTATTCATTTTTTTAAATTCATTTTGAATTGATTTTTGTGTGTTTGGACATGGAGTCATCTAGTTTCATCCTTTTTTTTTTTTTGTGGGACCCTCAAAGGCAGCCGGGGAACGAACCAGCGATGCAGAGGCTACGGGCAGCCTTGCAGCCCAGCGCTTAACCGCTGCGCCACCAGGGGAGGCCCTAGTTTCATTATTTTGCATGAATGTCCAGTTTGCCCAATGCCATTAACTGTAGAAGCTCCTTGCGCCAGTGTGTATATTTGACTCGCAATTTTGCCCCCGTCACTCTCCAGGAAAGGAGAGGAATGAAGTGCTAAATAATCCTAAACCCAGAACTTCCCACCAAGAACACTCTGTGCTGCGAAATTATTCAATTATGAACATGAATAAAAGCTTCCCCAGACAGAGAAGCCCATGGCGTGAATCACTGGCAGATCTGCCGGCCTGACAATAAAAGCTGACCAGAGTTCTTCTACAGGAAAGCAAATAGTGGGGCGGGGAGAGGAAGGATTAGGGTCAAAATAACGGGGGGGGGGTGCAATTTTACGGGTATATAACCAATATGAAAAATGCCTACATTGAGCAAAAATGAAAAATGATGTTAAGAATTATATAAAAAAAAGAAATGACACAAAGCGCAAAATGACAAAAACAGGAATCTTATGGGTCAAAAACAAATCACCAAAAGGAAGGCAGGAAAGGATCGAAGTGAGGGGCAGCTGCTCATTACCTCTCGGCATGCATGGATGCCTGACGGGACAAGATTTTTCTGCTAGTAATTATGAGATGTTTGTTTTCACCCGATAGAGTTCTGCATATTTTCCCTCCATTTTGTTCCTTTATTTGTAAGTACCTAGTTACCTGTCTTAAATATTTTACTAAAGAAAAATTCACACAGATTTTGATGTTTTTAATACTGAGCCCAGGAGAATGACCAGTTAAGAACAATGAAGGAAATATAGAAAACGTACTTATAACATATAATAAACTTACGTCAAACTGTGTAAATAAGACAAACACATTACCTCTGACTGACTGAGGACAGGATCATGACTTAGTCCGTGGACTGTGAGCCCTGCTGCCCCCGACCAGACAATCTGAGGAAGCGGCCCCCGTCACGTTGGGGTTGCTCTGCAGCTGAAGAGTCTCCCCAGGGCCTGCTTTATGTCCTTGTTTCTGAGACTGTAGATGAAGGGGTTCAGCATGGGGGTGACCACCGTGTACATCACCGAGGCGATTGCACTGTCCCTGGAGTCGTGGGTAGCGGTGGAGCTCAGGTACACGCCAAACCCCGTCCCGTAGAACAGGGAGACCACGGAGAGGTGAGACCCGCAGGTGGAGAAGGCTTTGTACCTGCCGCTCGCTGAGGAGATTTTCAAAACAGAGGACACAATCTTAGAGTAGGAGAAAAGGATGCCACTGAGAGGAATGATCCCCACAACCCCCGCTGCTAAATATATCAGCAGCTCATTGAGGAAGGTGTCAGAACAGGCAAGCTGGATCACCAGGTCCAGTTCACAGAAGAAGTGAGGCATTTGCAGCTGTGAGCAAAAGGACAGTCGCAAAACCATTAAGCTGTGTAACAGAGAATCCAGAAGACTTAATACCCAGGATGCAAGAAGCAGGAGGCCACAGAACTGGGGGTTCATGATGACCGTGTAGTGCAGGGGATGGCAGATGGCCACAAACCTGTCATAGGCCATGGCTGTCAAGAGGAAGTTGTCCACTCCTCCAAAGAGCATGTAGAAAAACATCTGGCTGAGACAGCCCGCGTAGGTTATGGCTTTGTTCTGTGTCTGGATGTTCAGCAGCATCTTGGGGACGGTGGTGGAGGTGAAGCCGATGTCGGCAAAGGACAGGTTGGCGAGGAAGAAGTACATGGGGGTGTGCAGGTGGGGGTCCGTGACGATGGCCAGGATGATGAGGAGATTCCCAGTGACCGTGACCAAGTACATGGCCAAGAATGCCCCGAAGAGGAGGGGCTGCAGCGAGGCCTCTTCTGAGAGCCCCAGGAGGGTGAACGCTGTGGCGTGGGTTTGGTTTCCTGGCGCCAGGTCGCTGGTGAGCCTGGTGATGGAGACAGAAGTACTGTAAATTTGACAAAAGAAAAGCAAACAAGAAATGAGGTTAAATGGTATGATTTTATTTTAAATACATTCAGCTAATAAATTTCATGTTTTGGAGCTAGTGCCTGTTCCCTGAAATTTTCAAGGTGGCTAATGACCCGCCAGCTCTTGATGCTGAGAATTAGCTATTCCTACATTTAGTGCAAAGGTTTCCCTATGTCAACATTTCTTGAAAATGCCCTGAGATTTTCTTTAAATATGGACGACCAGTTATATTATCCACTTATTGCTGGAATCATGGAGAAAAGCAGCGAGAGTGACTTTGAAAATTCCTTGCCCTTGGGCCTCCTTGGTGGCCTCGGGGTTTAGTATTAGGGCTACCACCTCAGTAGCCTGAGTTCAACTCCAGCCGGGAGCTGACCCACATGGTGCAGCAGACCCCTCCTGTTTTGCCAGCGCTCACCTTCACAGTGCATTTCAGTAGATCTGCCTGTCTTGCTCCCCACTCTGTCTCTGGTGAGTCCTCTAATCCCCTGCACCTCTGGCCATTGCCCCAGTTCTATACATAAATAGTAAGTAAGTCTTTAAAAAAATAGAAAAGCAAAATCCTAGTCCCAAACAAGTTTTTTCCTAAGTGTGTGTGTAGTCTCACTAATTAATATTTCATATGGTGATTATTGTTGTTATGTAAAATAATGCAGTTGAATGAAGAGGTAGATCTATAGGAAACTTGGGGAATCACTTCCAATTAGGAGACTCGGAACAAAAAACATCTCAAGTCAACGGGATTTGTTTTATACAAAGGACATATGTTGTGGCAACAATTTATCCATGAGAAAAACATTTGGATTTGGGGCGCTCCACGTAGGGGGTGAGAGGAGAGGCCCCGGCATCATGCTGCTGTGGAAGTCCTACACATGACATTGTGCATTTGCTGATGTTCCTTGTGTGGATTGTGTTACATGTGCTGTGCCTAAGTGTAAGTTGTATGTATTACATGTATCAGTTTTCCATAATTTAATCCCTCTGTAAAGTATAATTTGTTTCCCTCAGCTTTCGTTTCATTTGAATTCTGAATATTCGATTACAGAAGGCAGCTTTAACTTGGGATTGATGTCGAATCTGTGCTTCTCTTTACCTATAATAAGTGGTTATTTCTCTTACTTTAGCCACACACACACTTTCTTATCCAAGATTAGTGCATTGAGGTAGAGCTGAGAATTGGAAATCAAATCACTAAGGACAAAGGAGGTAGGAAGTGTTTTACTTTCCAAGAATGAGCTCTCCAGAATTGTTGTAAAGAAAGTTGCTGTTTTCTTCTGCATTATCTGACACTGGCTACCTAAAAGCAAAGAATCATGGTTATTGTGGCCTTATTCATTTCTTCATGTATTCATGTATAACTGAGGAAATTTTGGGGTTCCCCCTCCCAGTGTTGCTACCATAGAGCACTGCCACCAACTCTCCCATATTCCACCACCGCAGACCATTGTGCTTCCTTCCCTCTTTGCTCTTTTCCCCTCCCTCGGCCTCCCTCCTTGGTGGTTCCATTCTGTAGTCAGCCGTCAATGGTTAGTTTTTCAGCTTGTCTTAATCTGTTAATTTAGTTACTTTATATTCCACATATTAGTCACACCATCTATCTGATATTTATTTTCTCCTAACTTATTTCAACTAACATTATGATTTCAAGTCCTAGCCATGTTGCCACAAATGACATACATTTTCTTTTTCAATTGCTGAGTAATGTTTCATTGTGTATATATGAAAACTTCTTGATCTAGTCATATGTCAGGGTGTATCCTCTATAATAAATAGTGCACAGTCAACATGGGAGTTCAAGTTTTCTTCAAATTAGTTTTTTGAATTTTTTGGACAGATGCCTAGGAGTTGAATTGGGTCAAATGGCAGATCCATGTTTTCTGTTTGAGACACGTCCTCACTGCTCTCTCTGAGGGCTGGGCCAGGCTGCACTCCCACCTGCAGCGAGTGTGACCCACTGCTCTGCATCTGAACAGCATCCTGTCAGGGTCAGCTCCTTTGCACTGTCTGCTTCTTGGCAGGCTCCACTTACCCTCAACTCTGACTAGAATAAGCTGATTGGGAGATAAATGAATAGATTAATGAGTACAAATACTGTTTAATATTGGAATCATCAAGGTCTTTATTTAGAAGTTTGTGATGTTTCTGTGACCAGAGATCTGCCATAGGAAATTTAAAATTCTTGCATATATTGACTAATTTGTAATACAGTTGCTTTTGCTATATATCATTTCAGTTCAAGTTGCAGTTTCCAAGAATCTGTCTATGATATTAAGTGAGAAATTAATGTATTCACCATATTCTGACACACCACCCTGACTCAGTTTAGTTGGCAATAGGTAGTTGAATACATATTTCATGAGCTATATAAAGAATATGGTCTCACAAAAAATGATGACAAGTTGAGAAGAAAGACAGGAAAATGCTAAAATACTTGTGGAGAACATGCAAGAGGAATTTTCATATCCTGAGACTCACATCAGACCTTGGTACATGAGTGAAATAGAATAGAATTAGTGTAGCACGTAGGAAAATGGGCATTGTCTGAACACACCGGGACAAGGATATACAGTTCCCTTCTATCAAGTGTGTGTCCACATGTAAGTGTGCATGCATTTCTGTGTGTGTGCGGGTAGGTGGGCTGCATCACAGAGTAAAGGCAGGTCTGACTTTAGGCCATAGTAAGAAGGATCTGGCATCATTGCATACAGGAGAGAAGTATTTGAAAGGTCAGTTCTTGCTAATGAGGGAGAGACCATGTGAGTGAGGCCCCAACTGAAGAGCCAGGCTGGGTGGAGAACAGTTCCTTGGACACAGGGCCCCCAGGCTGACGGACCCGCTGTCTCTCCAATTGGACTCCTGATCCAATTGTTTTTGTGTCTGTTTCCACTTATGTGACCACACACTGTCATATGATACAGTAGTGAATGAGATTGTCCCTCCTCTGGTTTTTCTTTTTTGTGGATTGATTCTTTTGTTTTTTTGGGCTTTAGGATTTGATTATTCTTTTAACACAGATGAATTGGTCCTTGTTTTGCTCCTTGTCCGACAAGCAGTGGCCTCCCCAGACAATATTCCATAAAATCCTGCTTGTGCCCCAACAGTCTGTCCCTTTCCTCCGTGTTATTCCTGAGACCATCATATCCCACATGCGCTATTCCTTGTGCTCAACCCTCTCTAGCATAACGTAACATCCACATGAGCAGGGACTGCAGCTAGTCTGTCCACCCTTTGTTTATTGAGCCAAAATTTAGAAGTAACCTATGTGACCATCAGTGGATGAATAAGTTATGTGTACGTATATAGATATAAAATATGTATGCGCTCTCACTCTCTGTATATGATTCCTCTAATTGTCTATAATAAGTATCATGGATTATGTAAAACATATGATGTGTGTTGTTATAATACATTGTGTCGTTATAATATATTCTATATAATAAAATATCAAATAATATTAATCAAGGAAAGAAGGTCACCCTGCCTTTTGCGACAACACAAGCACCTAAAAACGTTGTGCTCCATGATAGAAGTCAGAGAACTAGAAATACTGGATATCACTTATGAACGTGGTCCTAAAACAGACTTAAATTGGTTACAGGCACCAGGGATAAGAGTTTTGAAGAAGGTGTTTTAGGATACACACTTGAAACTGCTGAATGAATAAGGTTCTGGTTCTACTGCATTGTGACGATATTCAACAGTAATTTATTATAACCTTCAAAGTTGTCAAGACATCGTGTGTTAATCATTTTGTGACAAAAATAAATATCAGTTGTGTGTATTAACGGAGTTGTTAGCTAGAGCTCCAGTGGTAATCCTATTGCATTATATAAATATATCAAATCAACATGTTTTTCTCCAACTTACACAGTTTCATGTCAATTAAATCTCAGTGAAAATACAACAGATCACATCACAAAAGAGAGGAAGTAATGAGGAAAAACAGATGTGACATATGAACACACTGTGTATTATAGGTTGTCACTACTCAGAATACAAGAGAACAACCTATGTTTAAAATGCATAGTGGGACGCAATAGGATTGACTGAGGCCCACACAAAATTGAAAACTTGAGCATTTTGCCAGCTCTCTATCCTTGTGTGGGATAAGTAAGTGCAAAACATTTCTCTTGAAAAACTCCAATTCTGTTTGAATCATTGATCCCAAACTAGAATAAACTCTCAGCCCTAGTAAGTAATGAAACTGTAAGAATGAGCACAATTTTTAATTTAAAAAGGTAAAATTCTGACAAGCAAAACCATGCAGATTTGCCAGGAATAGAGAGGTTGCCAAGTAAAACTCTTTAGTCTCCCCCAACTGACATTACCTGAGATGTATCACTTACGTGAGCACCTGATTTGTGGGGGGGACGACACACTGTTCCTCTCCTCAGCTGCTCTGGAAGGTAATCTGCCCCCTTACTCTGGATGTTTCTAGAACAGCTCACCTGCTCACACACCCCATGCACTTCCTTCATCCCCTTTCCATTCAATACTTGATTTCCTGCTGCCTCAACTCTGGAACTTCTTGGCTGTGTCCTAACTTTGCAGGAACCATTTATGCCTCCCACTCCCCCTTCATTCTCATCCTAACAGATTTTCCTTCCTGTCTCTTCACTGTCAGCACCATCTCTGTATTGCTGAGAGCAGTGGACAGTTTTGAGTCACAAATTAAGTAAATTAATTTTAAATTGACGAGTCAGTCAAGCAAGAGAACAAGGGAACCTCTTGTCCCTGGGCCTGTTTTGATCTCTATGACCTGAGGCAGAACTTCTCACTTTGCATTTTTTTTTAAAGATTTATTTTATTTATTTATACAAGCACTGGGTGTAGTCAGAAGTGTG